AAGCAGATATTAAATTACTACAACCGGTTGCTGACCGAATTAGGGGTTCAACAATCTCGAGTAGTTCATAAACGATCTTTCGTGAAAAACGACAACGCGCCATCAATAAATCGTCTGTCATGGTTTCCATAGGGTTTTATCTGTCAAAAGAAATTCTTTCACAGCCCTTCTCAGCAACCACTGATTAACTAGCGTCATTATTTCTTTTATTTATTCCACAAAAGTGTCAATGAAAAACGGTTAAAAAATGTAGTTTGTTTCCTTCAATTTTTATATCATATTATAACCACAGCAAGAGTTAAGATAAACTTAAGACATGTACAGACTAGTCTTAACTTAAGTCTAAACTAAGTTAAGTCTATGACTTAAGAATTTTTGTGAAACACTCAAAATTAAGTCTAGCTTAACTTAAGTGAAAACGGAGACTTAAGTATGACTTAAGTCTAAATCGAGCACTTAAGAATTTCTGTGAAACACCCTCCTGGGGGCCGTATCACAAAAAAACTTAAATTATACTTAAGCTTTTTTGTGATACGACCCCCACAGATATAGAAAGTGAATTTTGATGTGTTCTAAATAAAAATAAATATCATGTTCAATTTACTGCAGTTACATTTTTGTCGAATTAATTATTTTTTTTTGCATAATTTCACATCCATAACGGTAAGAGAATAAAATGCATGCATTACATTCTTTAACACATTTTTACTTACCAGTTAGTACCTCTTAGAACCGTGAAGCGTTCAAACTGCTTTTATTACGATCGTACTATTAGCAAATAATAATACGGAATAGCTCCCAGCAAGAGTAGAATGTTCAAGAGGAAAAGCCAATCAGCAAATTCAGAAGAAGCTCACTCTTTTAAACCAGAGATGAGAAAATATTAAATTCAAATATTTCTTCAAACGCTTTTCAAAACCTGATCTTATTTACTAAAGGTATAAGTGTTGATCTAAAAACAACACTTCGACTAGAAATTTATGGAAAAGAAGTAACAACAACGGTAAAGCAAAGAATTTTTCAAAATAACAACTTTGAAAAAGAAAATACTTCTTAAATTTTACTTTTTCCATTTGCTTTTAACATTTTGTGTCTTAGACACGATAAGGTAATTAAAATAGCTTCTTCTGTTCTTATTGTTCGACTTCCTTGATCTGGACAAGTATTGAGATAATAGTTGAACTGTGTTTGAATATCATTTATTGTAACTGTTTCATCTTCATTCTTATTAGCATATTTAATTGCATGTTCAATGCCTTTCAAACCACCGAACACGATTAAAGCATGTTTAAATTCTGGAAAATATTCTACATCATCAATATTTGTACCACGCTCAGATGTACCAATAACTAAATCATATTTTGCTTGTTTATCATCATCATCATGAAATGGACAATCGTCAAAAATTGTTCGTATTGATTCGACTTTTCGCACCTGATAGCCCCAATAGAGACCGAGATGTGTCCGTGGAGTCGTAGGCGATACAACTTCACCAAAAATCTTTTTTTTATTTCTATTAGAATTTTTTTCATTACCTAAAATAAAAAGAGAAACTTTTACAGCACTCAACTTGAGTTTGTGAAAGATTTGATATACCTAGTAAGTCAATACCATTCGTTTGTTGTTGCTGTTCTTTTTTTGACTTTAAATAATCATTCACTTTGATATCGGAACGTTGTACTGTAACACGTACACCCGGTTGTAAACGTTTATCGATTTGTACTTTTGTCTCATAGAGGCCAACATCGACCAATGAACCCTGTCCATCTGAATATGGCATTGGCAATGTCACACCTAAAAGATTACCAAGTATTTATTCTAAAGTTTCTTTTCTAAAAAGCGTTCTTATAACCTTCACGATAATACCATAATTCATTCATTCGTAAATGATGTGGTGCATCGAGTGGATTCAATAGGCCAGCATATTCTAAAAATTTTTGTTTTGGAAAAAATTGCTTTCGTAAATATTGCGGACTAAAAGAAAACAAAAAAAAATGACATAGTCTCACAATTCTAAAACTCTGTTCATTTACATACCACTCAAGATATTCAAGTAAACGTACAAGCTGATCAGTCATATTAAATGTTTCATTCTCACCTTCATTATCATCATTAAATATAATTATTTCATCAATATTAAATACACAACAGGCACGCCCGATCTGACCAGCTAAATATGTTCGAAGTTCGGATGATTGAGCATTACGCATAATGGATGAGGGTAATGCAATTGATATAGTAAATTGACGTCCGTCTATCTTTTCAATATCGATTTTATCTTGTGTTACTGTTATGTCTAATGATTCTGACTGTTCATTTTCTAGTAATTTTGATAATTTTTTTTCAAGACGTTGATTACGCCATTCTTTTTTTTGTTCTTTATATCGTCGCCATTCAGATGGCTTTTTGGGTTTTGGTAATTCAGGTCGGTTTAAATTTCTGTCCGACATTCATAAGAAATGTGCTTTTAATCTAGAAAAAAACCGGAAAAAACATTGATGACGCCTAAAGAATTAGCGAAAAAATATGATTTTCATTAGCTTAGACACTTCAACTGTGTATTTAACGACTTTGATAATACGATTAAACAAATAGGTAAACGCTCAGTAATTATAAAGTAAGGATTACCTAGCTACTTTTAAAGAAGAAAGTCCAGATTTATTCGAAGTTTAAATAACTGTCAAATAATTGCATGGCGATTGATCAGAACATAAGAAAAAAATCATTAGTTTTTTTTTTCTAATTTGAGTAAATTTCTAGAGCGTAAGGTACATACACATCATTTTTCGTCGTCTTCAATCTTAATTTGATAATATTGTTGAGGATTTGTTTGTATCCATGATGGATTTTTAATCATAAATTGTTGCCGTCGTACATTATAGTCTTTACAGGCCAATTTCGCTTCGGCATATGTTGAAAAATTATTAAGCTGTTTTAAACGAAGAAATGATTTGAATAATGCATACTTCGAAATTGGCGGTGAATGTTTCTCTACTAGTCTTGCTTTTTTTGTTTTTCCCAGTAGGTATCCATCAGTTGTTACAAATGATTCAACGTCACTAATCCATCCTATCGAATTTGAACATGATTTACTATTTTCCGAAACAGCTTCAGGTGAATATTCAAATTGTGAATTTGAAAATAAAATTTGACAAGGTGAAAATAGGCACTCTAAAGTGTCCATGTTTCTTGCTGAACATTTTCCAATAATAATTCCATCTAAATACAACGGTGTTGATAATAATTGAGATAGTAGACATCCTTCTATACCCAACTGTAACCATCGTCTAATTTTATTTGTACAGGATAATGAATCAGTTTGATAACCTTTTCCCGGTTTCAAATATAAACCATTTTCTTTTGATAAACATTTCGTTGGATTATTAAATTTACATTTTTTTACATCATCAGTCAATATACTAGCTTCACCACATGGTGTATGGGAAGTGAATAAATAGAATTTCAATAATGAATTGATAACAAACTTTTTGCTGTGTTCACAGACAGATGTAATTATATCTGATTTTTTGATCGATTTAAATAAGTCAATTTGTTTATACAAATATTTTAAAAAACATCGACGTGCTATCACTTCAGCATGTTGATCTTGAATTAATAAACCTTTTGAACATCGTTGATCTTTGCCTAAACATTTAGTACCAGTACCCAATGATAAAACGTCAATTTGGCCAGCATCGTTGACACATACAACACACGATAAATGAGTCCATTCATGTTCAGTCGGTTTTCCAGTTTTAGGTAACGACGAAAATAACGAATAACATCGCTGAGCTACTTTCTCAGCTAATTCATTTTCATCCATATCTTCCAAGGAACGTTTTGGCATTCAGAAGTGTATACAAATGACTAAAATGTAATGAAGAAGTCTATAGCAATAACAATCAAAAGTTGCAAAATATTTTCTTTTTTTAGAGAATAAAACTGTTTATACAAGTCGTCTCTAAGCACTAATGGGTTTAAAACTACATGAGTTATAACTAGTTGGAGTTATAACTAATTTAGCTTTTAGTCAAAAATTTATAATGGTTATAACTATCAACCACGGTTGATAGTAATAACTCCGCTTGATAGTGTTGATTGAGAGCGTTATAACTATTTCAACTTTAGTTATAACTGGCATAATACAAACTGAAATGAGGTTTCATAATGTTATTCTGAGTTGATAGTAATTACTAAAACTGATGCAGTTATAACTGGGGGTCGTATCACGAAAAAGCTTAAGTCACCGACTTAAGTCCGGGAACTTAAACCGTATCATGAAAAGACTTAAGTTGGCGATTTGTTTACTTTTTAAAAGTCGTTGACAACAGTGACAAACTTGGGACAAAAACCCGCAAAATAACGAAATATTTATTCTCTAATCCTTAAAATGTCGTTTTCGTCAAATCGTATCGTTAAATGCCTGAGCTGTTCGAAAAATGCGTCAATGACTTAAGTTTTCGGTCATAACTTTAAGGGTACATTTCCCATGACTTAAGTTTTTTTGTGATACGACCCCTGGAGTTGGAATAGTTATCACTCTATCTATTTGGAGTTGTAACTCGTTCAACCGCTGTTATATTGATTAGCCCGAGTTGATAGTTATAACCATCAACTATTTTAGAAATTTTCTCAACTTTTAACTTTCAGAAAACAGTTTTAAACCCATCAGTGTCTCTAAGCTTCTTCAACGAATCTTCTAAGCGGTTTCTAACAAAATTTTAGTGAAAAAAAACTTCTCATGCTTTATATTTCTCTGCTCATTCTATGAAAATAGATATGAAGCATCGATGCCGAATTTTTCTCCGTTTATGCCTTCTTTCTTTTCTCCTTTAGTTGGCGATCAGACAATCTAATACAACACATGTTTGGCAGATGTCGCCGAACGCTAGAATATGCGCTGGAGTCAGTCTGCACGAAAAAGGTATCTTTTTTTGTGGTAAAGCATAGAAACAATTGAATGACATCAGAAAGCCTATGTCAATTTTGAATGTGTACTTTAGAAGAATAATGAAAATGACAACGCACAAGGGGCTGCTGTAGAATGTTTGAAACTAATTTGTGAAGGTATAGCATTGATATACGACAATCCCAACAAAGGTATTTAGACCATAATTACAACTGTTTAAAATTCCTTCTGTTTTGTTTTGTTTATAAAAATAATAATATCCCGATCATTCACAGATTTTGAGCGTTCAGGTCGCCAAAAATTAAAGGAAATTTGTAAAAATAAGCCAGTCGCTAATATTACCTAAGTCTCGTCCAAAATTCGGCAGTTTTGTTGGCTTCCCAAAATGTACCTAATTCGATTCGCGCCGTCTATTCTGAGACAGTAGATTTCAGTACAGAGCTTGTTCAAGTGTTAGAACTTACGACTATGGTGCTTTGGTCATAGAGAGAATTTTTTACAAGAATCATGTCGTATAGATTACCAACAACTACAACATGGTGATATCTTTAGTAATGAATATTCAACTGATTTGTACTTCTATTTCATATAATTCTCAATGGAAATTTTACGACACAAATGAACGTCCGGACGCGTTCTTCTTTCATTTATTGAAAAAGGCACCCGAACGCGTCTAAATGTATCTTTTTAGCTCGAGAAAAGAAAAAGTGCGTCTAGATGCATCTCTTTTCTCCAATTGGACGAAAGACGGTGTGGTTGCTGCTCGATTCTACGACGCGCTCAAATGCACCTAGAGAATCGGATTAAAAACCGGGCATGCTCAGACGCGTCTAATTTTTTCAACCATAGTTGCATCCAGACTCGCCAGTGAGACCAGAAAATGCCTTGAATGCATCTAGACGCACACATTTTGTATCATTCAACAAATCCAAGATGGTTATATTTGCTGTTGGACGCACCTCACAGTTTATTTAGGTAGATTTTTATCTCGACCAGAGAAAACTCGCGTTCACGGTCAACGGGATCGGTGCTAAGCAGTTGCTTAGAGCAGAGACGGATCTGGATGAAAAAGTTCACATATAGGTGCGTCGATGTCTAAGTTCAAACCCCGCTCAGACCCTTTTTGCTTTTTTTGTGTTATTGTTTGAACTATTGTAGGAACTTCACTGCAATCAAGCGTTGAGTCCGACTGATGAGGCAGTGACTCATAATCAGTTAGGCTCTGTCCTGCCGAAGTTCGCACCTCAACATCAGTAGACAAAAGATATTCCGAATATCTTCAAAAATCGGTAGTGCTTATATGCTTATATGTAAGTGAACAAACAACTGTAACTGGAAAACAAAACAGCGAATGGATTAAAAAGTAAAAATCATCGGTTAATTTGATCAAGCGGCGATTAATCAGCCAAATTTAAGCAGTCTCGCCGGCATCGGTTAAGACTAGTATTAAGGATGGCGGGGCGCGCGCCGGCGGGGGGGGGGGGGGGGGGGGGGGGGGGTGGGGGGGGGGGGGGGGGGGGGGTGGGGGGGGNAAACTGAATAGAACTCAATTCGTATCGACAGAATACAACTGAGTCCTTGAACCTTTGCTTCAGGATTCTTTATCGTATTCTAAGATTAGACACCCGCTTAATGAATATTGTTAATGTTTTCTCTCTGCTGAACATATCCTAATTTTACAGAACAGTCTGGGCTATAAAATGAGACCACTCCCAGCTCTCCATGACCTACCTTGAAAAACTTATGAAGTTTTTAAGTTTTTCCTTCAAACATTTTGCTTTCGTAGGAGCAATATTTTCAGTAAGAAACTAAGAGTAACAGCTGCTACTAGATATGCCATTAGTAATCTAGTAACCGCTGTTGCTCTTAGTTTTTTCCCTTCAAAGCCTAGAAAATCTCAATTTTTCAGATTCGTAAATCTTTCTCTCCTTTCCTATATATTCAACATGTTTTCTTATATATAACATGATAGAAGAAAGTGTGCTCTTCAAAAGAGATGTTTTCCAGAATTTTCCAATGACTTTTCTTAGAGATATCAGCATAGCCGCAAATGCCCTGAAAAATACAGCCCTGTGTACCATACGTGTTTTTCTTACTATGCGTTTTTTCCAGTCACATTACGACTCCTCGAAAAAATGGTCCGATCGAGCTGAAATTTTTACGACAGATACTTTAGACCCTATCTCAGGTTCGTTTTTTTTTAAAAGTATTTTCGACTTCAACTTTCGGCGTGAGAAGATTTTCAAAATGAAAAACTGGTTTTTTATATGGGATTTTCAGTATTTTTCGGATATCTCGAGAGGGAAAGAATATTTTTCGAAAAGAAAAAAACGCACCTGAGATAGGGTCTGCAGTGTCTATGGTAAAATTTCGAGCTCGATCGGACCATTTTTTCGAGGGGTGTACTGTGACTGGATGAAAACTGGAGTTTTCCAGAAAACCCATAAAAAAACACGTCAGAAAATTCTGGGCAAAAATACTTCGATTTTCTTTTTCGATGTTCTATCTCTGGTATAAATTAGAACCCGATCCGACATCGACTATTTGTCTAGGGCAGATACAGTAGATAAATCGGTCCAGTGGTTATAAAAAATGTGAAAGCTATTTATTAACCATGACTAAAATTGATCCTGAACTGGAAGCAAAATTCGATCTACTTGATGAGGAATGTAATTCTTTTTCACTTGGAGAAGGAAGAGACGGAAAAACTTCGTAACAAAGGCATGCCATTCAAAAATAATATAAATACCAACAACAGCCAATTTAGTGAATTATTTCAATCGCGCTTAAATTCCTCGATATATTTCATTATTGTGGTTATACTATATTTTTGTGAACTGAAGACAAAACATTAACAATATTCATTAAGCGGGTGTCTAATCTTAGAATACGATAAAGAATCCTGAAGCAAAGGTTCAAGGACTCAGTTGTATTCTGTCGATACGAATTGAGTTCTATTCAGTTTGCGTTTCTGAACTCCTTTACTGCGTACAAAGCTCGTTCAGTGTATAGAAGCGACCATCTCGGTCGTGCTAGAGCATTCTTATCTACTGGCGTATCGTGTGTCCATATGCACTTCAATGCAGGTGTATCCTTTCGTCGATCATTTTTGCACTAATATTCCATAAAAACATTCTTAAAGGAGAAACGATATCAACAGCATTTACAAATGCTATCAGAGAATTTTAACAGATGAATGGCTTTGACGGACCGAATAACAAATACAAAAATCACACATGTTCAAAGGACTGGTCAGCGTTCGTTCTTTGTGATGATCAAGATAGAATATTCAAAGATTTTCGAAAATGTCACAATCGATTAAATTGTGTGAGTAACAATCCTGGTTTTTTTATCAGTTTGTTTTGCTCTTAATTAATGAGTAATTTATTGTGGAGTTCCACCTACTTCCCACATTAGACAAAACTTGTCTTGTATTTGATTTGTTCCAGTTGGCTATCCCGTATGAAAATGTAAGTTATTCACATGAAACTTCTTTCTAGTTAAAATAATATACAATAAGGTGAAAGTTTTTTCTCGGATCACAGTAGGAAGAATGTAAAAAACAAGACAATCAGAAGACATCAGTAAAAATATTATACAAATAAAGAAACGATGAAAAAATTATCATCATTTGTTTTCTTGATCATTCATTTGATCACCACTAGATTGTCCGAAATCATCTGGAGCATTGCTTACACTTGGTATAAATTCATCTTGTTCTTAAAAAGCGAAATATTAGAAATCTAAATAATATCTTTGATGACAGCAGCATAGATTAAACTTACTTTCTTCAGCTATATTTATGGAAGCACTTGAACTTGTTTGTGTTTTTATTCCACCGATCGGAGGTAGAGGAGGACTAGTTCGACGAATATCAATCATATTGGCTGTACCAACAGTTGAATTAAATGGCGTACGGGGATTGGTGTTGCGACTTAATGCTGAAAGAAAATGAGACACTAACTACAATGTTTATAAGTTTAGTTTTATATCAAACATCTTTTTACCTGATATAACGGAGACGGCTTCGCGAGACTCTTGATTTGTATTTGCACGTCCATTGATGGGTCTTGATACACTCACATACGTCCGTAAGTTAAGCGATGGAATGGCTACAGTAGCTGATGTTGGTTGATCTAATGATGTTGATACGAGAGAATGAGGCATCATCATTTTATTTACATCGAATTCAAGTAATTTTGGTATTTCAGCTAGATGTGTTTGTAATTTATCCTGATCTGTTGAGATTTGACTTGCTGGAGTTTGTCGAGGCGCAAAACTTTTATCCATCTATACAAGGAAAAACGAATAATTTAGAAATAAATTAGGCTTATACTTGTTATTCATGGATTTCATTTATCTATTATACTTACATGCCATAGCCTTTCATCATCATCCTCAGATGAGGTGAATGTTTGAATTGTTGTTGTTGTTCTGCGGTGTTGATCATCGTCGGGATGTGTAGTTTCTGTAGCTTCTGATGGAGCAAGACGCGTATTAGTACCTTTAGTCGTTTTCATAGTCATTGAATGTTGACGTTTTTCTCTTTGCATAAATGTTTGTGCAGCCGCTCTACCTTGATACGAATAGATGGGCCGAATTAAAAATATGGTACTTTCTTTTTCTAAATGATCAAATTTATGCGTCATTTCTTTTGCTAAATCAACACGATGTTGTCGGATACTAGATATTCGTTCACTGATTTGCCCACTACGCTATAAAAATTAAATTCCATGAATTATGTGTGTATGTGAGTTTAATACCGAACAAAAGTGCCTACTCGTTCATGAAAAGATTCCATTCTTTCTAACACGCTTTTTGTATCCTCACACAACGATTCGCTACGAATACGATCTAAAATTATACTTGTATAATGATGAGTTAACACTTTAAATCTTATTAAAACACATATACCCTCAATTTCATTCACTTTTCGTTGTTGAATATATTTTTTAACTAAATTTCCGAATTGCTGAGATGGTAGACTGACATAATCAGACATATCCTCATTCAACTCCTGAAACAGTGATAGTGGAAATCCAAGTGAAAGATGAGTCATCAAAGACCGCTACTAATGCGTACATTATACGTTGTTTCTGGTACTTTGCCTTTGTTAAGAGCATTTTTCAATGTATGGTTATTTCTTTCAGCATCAAGTCTTGTGAATAACACTGATGGTTCAACTACTCGTTCAACTTCTGTACGTGATATTCGTCGTTGTAATCGTGCCACTTCTCTCTGCAATGTTTGAACTATCTTCTGTAAATCGAGCATTACTCGTTCGTTTTGTCTAAAATAGATGAAAATAATATAAGTAGGTTTGTTCGAGTGTTAAGGAAGTTTCTTCTTACTTCAATTCTTCTTGATGCTTTTTATTTGTTTCATCAAGTGAATTTTTAGCCATATCACATTTAGCTTTTAATTCTTGAATAATTATATCTTTTTGTGTATCTTGTTTTTCAATAGATAACAATGATGAGTGTTGTTGTTGATTATTTGACGATATAAATAATGCATTTGTTTCATTCTCTTTCCTTGATGTTGTTGGTGGTGATGATGTTTTTTTTAACGTATTCAGACATAATCGTATAACTTTTACGATGTCTTCGAACACTTGATCAGCATTAGCGGTTATTTTATTCATATTTGTATCCGTTAAATCATTAAACAGTAGTTTTTTTGTTAATGATAATTGATCAGACAAAGAACTGAATTTGTTAACTTCTAATAATTTCATGATACTAGCACGAAATTTATAAATATTCTCGTAAACATGAAAAAACGGAAATTTGAATATATCAGTTTTAACCGTATCAACCGAAACGGGTCTTTAAAAGAAAAAACTTTACATAGTATTTTATGGGAATATGTAACAATAAATCAATGTATAGCTACATTTCTTTGTGTGAATGATCAGTGGGCGGTCTCGATGTTTGTTGCTGTTGTTCACGTTTTGAAACTGAAACTGATTGGTTGTTGTTTACTTGAACCACATAGAAAAATACATCACAGTTGAATCACCGAATTTACTCTATCAGGTAGCCACTCCGTTATATTTACCATTTTCTGACCCGATACTCTGATCTAACGATGATGACTGGTGTTTTTGTTCGTGTTTTAATATTCCTAGAATTAATTGTAAGAAAGACGAATGAGAATCTCTTAATGACGGAGAGATGGTACCATTCCTATTTTCTTTTCCCAAACTATTTTCCAGTGATTCAAATGGTTTTCGTTCACGTGTCGATGTTGTTGGTTGAGATAATGTGTTATCGGCTTGTTGTTTTAAATTATCTAGTTCAATTTTTTTCTCTTCGAGTTGCGACTTGTACTTTTCGCGCAGCGATGTACGACTTTTTACAGATGTTTCACGAAATTTTTCGAATGCTTCTATTTCATCGTTAACAATCTGAATGAAGAAATAAAATGGTATATGACATAACTATGATAAGACTTTAGGACAAACAGTTATCACGAGAAATGAACAACACTTCAACAAAAAAGCAAAAATGTACAACAACAACATCGACCACCATCGAAGGGGTACCTTTGTTAATAAACGTTCTAACTCTTCAGCCCGAAAAGATGGTTTATGAAATGACGTTGATGGTCTTCTGCTTTGTGAAGCTGATGCAAAATAGGATCGATCAGCTGATGATGATGACGTACGATTATTTGGATTAAATGAATTCGATCGACTGATACTTTGTGATGATGGTGAATGTGTATTCGTTCCTGACAGTGCTATTGGCTTCGATGACGGAATATTTTCACTATTAAAAGTCGAACTAATTCGTTTTGATGGGACTGTTGATGAATTGACAATGAGTTGTTGTTGATTTTGATCTTGTTGATCGGACGATCTCTGACGAAACAAGTTTTTAGGACTAGTTGTAGATGATGGAGATGAATCGTTTTCGAATTGTTTTAATGGTGAATTATTTGCATTGTGCAAACTTTTGAGTAATTGTGTTGCTTCATAAATTGAAGTTTTTCCTTCTTGTATTGGTGTTTGTGGTTCTTGTTGTAATGATACATTTAAATTTTTATTACCACTTACTAACAATTTTGACCATTGTGCTGTTTTTGAATGCTTTAGATTTTGAATAATAGTACTCTGATTTTATTTCAGAAAAAGAAAAACAAATCTTACTTTTAAATTTGGTGATAATTTGTCATTGTCAATTTCTTCGGTAATCTCAACATGTTCAGGTGACTTTGATATATTGTTTAAAGCAATTGAATGACGTCGAATAAGATCAGTTTGATGAGCAATGTCTTGTTGATCCTAAAGAGAACATTAGTAGCTGATTGCGCTAGTTTTAATCAGAAAAAAAACCTAGTCGATGTAAGTTTTAAAAAGTAATATTGCTGAATTAGATCAGATTGTCCTCGACTTATATTTGATGCAGATAAACTACCTTCACGAAATGCTGTTAAGTTAATCAAGCAGTTAGTTTCATTAGTACACATTTAAACGTTTTCTAAAACTCCTTACTGTCTGAGTTTCTGAGTTAGTAGTGCTAGTTGGTTTCTAAAATGGTACTTTTAAAATGAATATCCGTCGATTTTAATCATTAAAAAAAAATACTAACCAACTTTTCTTGTTCAACCATGAATCCTTCCATTTGTTTTAAAGCGTCCTCAGCTGTTTTTTGTGCTTTTATTTGTAATTCATGAGCAATGTCAACTTTTTCCGTTAATGCATTTTGTTCCTAAAATAATGATATCAGATATTATTATAGGACATAGCTTAGGTAGCAGAATGCAGTTCGATGATGCAACACAATTGATATTAACTGTACAAAAAGCAAATGTACAATACACAGTATTGAACAAACCTCTTGCCAGTTGTCATCGGGATTGAGACTGAGAAAAAAGAGTAAACGCTCCTAAAATAATATGATGAAGAAAGCAGATAAATAAAAGAAAAAAAAATTAGTAAACAGAAGGTCTAACTATCTTCTGAAATAGCCAGTCTAACAATGGTCTGACTTATTTGCCACTGTTAACATACTTTTCGTTAGCAGAGAAAAAGAAGACATTGAAGAAAGAAACGTCAATTTCTTTTCTCGAAAATGGTAAATTGAAAAAACGAAAGGCAGTTATGTATGTATGTTTATGTTGTCACCTTCTCGTATTGTACTTTATGTTCAATAAATTCTTGTTTTAGTATTTGTATTGTTTCTTTGTTTGAATTTTCTTTTGTTTCCAATTCTTTTATCAAATCAGTTACACGGGCAATAGCCTGATGAAACAAAAACATAATATATATTTGTTTGGTGAGAAAAAAAAAAAGAACTTCTTAAATTCTTTTTCAAAAGAAATTCTTCTTTCTTAATTTCATTCTTACAAATTTTCGTAAATTCATAAATGCTGTAGGTAAGTTATCGATTGATATATGATTAAGATCTATGCCATGTTTGACATTCAATAATTTATTTAAATCTGGAGCACCTTCTCTATCAGTCAATAATGATTCTAATATTTCTTGTCCACGACGATAAATTTCACTTGGATCTTCAATTCGTTGATTATTACGCTCCTGCGCAGGAAAAACTCTTGGATTTGAAGTTTTAAAGAGAATATAATCAGACGTACTTCTTTCTTTGTACGATACGGAATTCGTTTTCGGCTTCCCTAGTCAAAAAGGATAGTGAGGTATTACATATACTTTTTAGAATATCTGATATTGTAGTACACAGTTACACATAGCACTAGAGGCGTTGAACGTTGACTTAGACTTGAGTACTAATAAGCACACTTACATGAAGCATAAATAACATGATTTTATTCAGTATATTTAACTTACTTTAGATTTGTTTTTTTTCTACGTAAAATATAGTACGCTGTACATTATGTATAGTGAATCACTTAGAAATATGCTTGCGAGTTCTAGCATAAAGTATATTTCTATCGCTTACTTTTTTTGCTGGTTCTGGCATAACAACTGTTTGGAGAGTAGCTGTGGCTAATGGTGGCTGTGGTACTGCTACTGTTTTACTTTGGTCGGAAATTTTATCAGCATTCTATAAAGAACATGTAGCAAGTAAAGGATAATTGGTTATTATGATTATCAACAAAAATGGTTTTTCTTCAACAATTTTCTACGATGAGTCATGTTATCCACATCATATGGATCACATCTTGATTGATATTTATAGCTGCTGAATACATCTTTATCATTGCACAACTGAAATAAGACGCCTAACTTTCCCTTATTAGGAAATTCACCGGCTCAAATCGCTTTTAACGTAAAAACCGTGAATTATGTGTAATCGGTGGACTAATCGCAAGTGTGATAAAAAAGTGGCATCTGTTGTTGCCATTAGACTCTTTTAGTGCCGTCCTGAGAAATCTAGATCTTATTGACGACTAAGTTTTGCAAAGATACAGCTTTTAATTCATGAAGCGATGAAAAAGTTTAGATTTTTCAATAAATAATACGCCAACTTTTGATATCTGTTCGAAACTTATTCTCATTGATTCTAAAAACTTATACACATATGCAAATCGATGTGCTCTATAATCTGATGATGTTGTTGTGTTAATGTGCACCCACAGAGTTCTCAGATGGATCTTCAGATATTCGGATTTCATAGAACGGTATCAGAAGTCCCTAGCTGCAGCAATAGATGATACATTCTTTACCATCTATTATCACATATAACCTGCTGTCGAGGTACTGTTATAAGAAGGAAAACTACCATTCTCAAATTAGTACATTTGTCTGTAGCCATGATTAGGCCTGCAAAAGTTCACGTTGGCGTTCCTTGATCGTGAACGTTAAAACACTGGTGGACTTGAGTTTTTTTTATACGAACGATGTCCATATCGTCTGAAGTAAATATAAAATTCTGTTCCTGTACTGTAGTAAGAACATATATATTTCTGCTTGGTCTTATCTGATCTATAGACATTCTAGTGAAAGATTAGATGGTCTGCTCAGAGTAGTGACCGGATTATTGCAATGTAAAAAGGATACCGCTTTATTCTCTGATCAAGACATTCGTTCTTCCAAGAACAGATTGCAGATTTCCTGACCGGAAGACTAGTTTTTCCAGCACTGGAACCGAAGTTCCTTGGTCAAAACCATTACAGTAACTACATACGTTTTTCTTTGTTATCCTAACCCATTTGGGACAAACGAGCGTTGATTTGTCACTAAATATAACTCATAATGGAGAAAGCTGTTTCACTTGGTATACTACTAGGTGAAATTGCTATATAACGTTTTGCAATACTATTTGTTCCACACAAGATCAACACCGTTCATATAAAATAACGTTAACGTTCATCAGAGCATTCGTGTTCACGTTCAAAAAACGTCTTATTTAGCGTTCTTGTTCAAGGAGGAACGCCAACGTGCTTTCGCGTTACGTTCAAAGAGAACGCTAAAAAGGAACGCTGAACGTTTGCAGGCCTAGCCATGATTCGTGTGTGATAGTCTCAGTTGCTCAGAAAGTCAGTTTCGAACAATAAAAAGTTTACGCACGATACACAATTCCTAACGTAATATACTGTTTTTTTTCTGGCAAAGAAGAATATATCAAGAGAATACCACCATCAAGTCAAAATCTGTATAAATAGCGTTTGATTTACGGGTTCCTCTATTGTAGCAGTTGTAAGACCTTCATCAGGTTCTCTTCCCTTGATATTTGCTATTCTAGCAGATTCCGTATCATTAGCTTGATTGTTATCATCTTCATCGATTGTTTCAACTAAACAAAATAGTAAGAAAGTCTTACGTTAAAAATTACACTAGAATCTGCTTACGATTTCTTTTCGTTAAAGGATTTGCTTCAAATTCCTGAAATTTAAACAACGATTAGTCAAAATATAGTTAGTATAATTGAATTATCTAACTTACATGTCGTTCATCATCTGATTGTGATTCGTCACTACCCATTTGATTTTTAATTTGACGTTCAAATTCCTTCATACGTTTTTTATAATAGACTATTTCAACTTGTTTTCGTTGAACTTCATCTTTTTGTATTTGTCTCTGAAAAATGAATAAGAACGCAACCTGACGATAATTGATGATAATCTTCATTAACTCACTAGAGTATCCATTTTTGTTTTGCTCTCCGTTTTCACTATTTCAATTGTGTCGAGCAGTTCTTGAATTTTTGTTTCTTTCGCTATCATTTCTAAACCGTATTTTAACGTATAAACACGTCGAACAAAATTATCACATAAAAAAAATGTAGAGTCCTGAATGATCCTGTGACGTGTAAAAGTCCTATGAAATTCTTTTTTGCGCGATTGATTACACGTGAACGTTTATACATTTTGATCAAAGAAGAGCAGGCATAAACACCGACCAATAGCCGCTTACATGACTAGGTGTGAACCAATTTCAGAACTGATATTGGCACATTTAGAAAACTGTTATAACTCGATTATCAAGAGCCACTCAGAGTTGCAGAGCATCTCATCTTACGGAGAAATGTTCGCTCTACAAAAGTTATTATTTGGAAAAATGAAGATTAATTGTGCTGAAAATAGGAGCAATATTAGTTCTGGAACTGGCGAATATCTATATATGGCGTAACTAATAATTCATACCTGCATTTGCCGATTCTAATTTGTTTTGTAAATCTTGTAGTTGTTCGTTTGCTTCTTTTGACAGCTTGTCAAGTTTTTGTTTACTCCTGAACAAAACGATAGAAATTACGCTCCGTTCATAGTCAAGAAATTACGGATGTCTTTCGTCGCGACAGTTTTCCGTCGAAATTTTGCGGGATTCAGGTCTTTTTAGGGAGATCGTTTTAACAAATTTTAACAGTCCATATCTCATTTTCTACTTTAAGGGCCCCTCCCTCGTCAGACATGTCAATTTTCGTTAAAAATATCATTTTTAAATAAGTACATAGTTTAATAGTCCACAGTGTCCTCTTTCGAATGCACTAAGTTTTATGCCCTGAACTAGTCTCCTTGCGGGTTTTTCAAGAAAATTTCTGGACGCCCCATTGTAAAAAAAGAACGTTTTTTTTATTTTTTATGCGTTTTACAAATTTCACATCGCAGTAGGTTTTGGATCAGGCTGAAGTCGCTGCGCATATGCCGGCACATGTGCCGTATGTATGTAGTACTTATAAAACACCACTTTTTTTGCTAAAAGCACACTGTATATAGGTTATCAGTGATGAAGAATCAAGTGGTATTTCATAGGTAAAAAATATCTACACATACACATGAACATACGGCACATGTCCATCGGATTCAGCATGGCTGAAAACATCTAGGGATATATAATGAAACTTTGTTTACTGGAATATTACGAAAAATTTGACATTTTTCGCGAAATGATATTTCTTCTTGGACACATTTCGTAGCTGCAAGATCTCTCTGTAACGAAATGTCGCGGAGAGCTCGAGCTGGTCCTAAATAGAAGCTAACAGCTTCGGCTAGGGGATAATAGAACCCTATTTTTGATATTCGATCTAGATTTGTGATTAGAGAAGCACCTTTGTGCAAGTTAATGAGGCTATTTCGAATTTTTGACGCTTATCAATATTTGGGAAAGCAAAATATCAAAAATCCGGCACTATTAACATCTAGCCACATCTGCCGAAGCTGTTAGCTTCTATTTAGGACCAGCTCGAGCTCTCCGCGACATTTGGTTACAGAGAGATCTTGCAGCTACGAAATGTGTCCAAGAAGAAATATCATTTCGCGAAAAATGTCAAATTTCGCCATTTTAAGGCCATCCACGACGTTTCATTACCGAGAAATCTTGCAGCTACGAACTGTCCCATTTTGCCACTGTTGAAGCGCCACAGACATCAAGGTCAAATTTAATTTTTAACTTGTTTTATTACATGTGAACTACTTTTTGTGCACATCTAAGATATCAGCATTATATGTGCTGAAGTGACGTTTACTTTTCAACTGTAGATCGTTAAGGGTAAAAAGAATTTTTTCCTTATGAATAGCTTGATGGAAGAAAGGGTGCTCTTCAAAATGAGATGTCTTTCAGAATTTTCAGATGAGTTTTGTGAAGATATAAGCATCACCGGAAATGCCCTGAAAAACAAAGCGCAGTGTAACTTACAATATGTGTTTATCTCACTACGCGTTTTTTCGATAGTCCCTTCAATCGGGTCACATTACGACCCCTCGAAAAAATGGTCCAATCGAGCTAAAATTTTTACGACAGATACTTCAGACCCGATCTCAGCTTCATTCTTTTAAGCGTTATCGATTTCAGCTTTGGGCGTAAGAAGACTTTTAAAATAAAAAATCGGTTTTTTATACTGAATTTTTGGTATTTTTCGAATATCTCTAGAAGGAAAGTATATTTTTCGAAAAGAAAAATTTAGAACCTGAGATAGCATCTAAATTATTTGTAGTCAAATTTTAAGTTCGAGAGGCCGTAACGTGACTGGATGAAAATTAGAGTTTTCCAGAAAATTCGTAGAAGAACATGTGAGAAAATTCTGGGTATATACACTCTAAAAAAAAGTCGTAGATTAATAAACTACAATGAAAGGGTTTTTTGGACTAAAAAACTGATAAAAAAATCCGAAACAGTTTTTTAACGGGTTTTTAGGCCAAAAAACCAAAAAGGTTTCGTGGTCGTTTCAAAATGAAAAACTCACGGTTTTTGGGAGAGTTTTTTGGGTCTAAAAACTCTTTAAAAAACCCTGTTAGTTTTTTCCTCGGTTTTTCAAAATCACTAAAAGACTCTATTGGTTTTTTGATCATTTTGGAAAACCGAGGAAAAAAACTAACAGGGTTTTTTAAGAGTTTTTAGACCCAAAGAACTCTTTTATTGTAGTTTATTAATCTCCGACTTTTTTAGAATGTACATCGACTTTCTTTTTCGATGCTCCAGCTCTGGGATAAATTCCACCCCGATCAGACATCGACTTCCCCAGTTTTCAAGAGAGTGAAAAAAGAGGAAGGGTACCCTTAATTGACTCTATAGGATAATTTAATTGTAGTATCCTGCTTAAACTGGAAGGATAATTTTTTGAGAAAGCAATCAGCCATCACTAATAAAAATATGTAAGATTGAAATACGGTGTTTAATAATGTTTCAGAAACTGTGTTTTTCACTAGATATTATATTCATCAATGAGGATGAAGCTAAAATTAAATCGTATGTGAACTGAAAATTATTGACCTTCTGCACATGTAATACGACAAATAGAATACAACATTGATAGCCAAAATGAACACGAAAAGCTCTAAATAAATTGCTGCTGTTACTTGTTATGTACATCCTATTATCTCATAAATATTTACCTTTCCACCAGCATCCTGTCTCATAAAAAAAAGACATGTTATATAAAAAGTTTTAATAGGTTTCACTTTCGGGTAGCGATTGTTCAAGCATTTCCTTACTTTGTTTGTTTTGTTCCAACATTTTGTATTAAGAATTGAATAATCTCTTCATTCAATTCGTTTAATCTTGTTCTCAATGATTTAATGTGGATAAAACAATCTGTAACATCAAATGTCGTCGGTTTATCTTGCATTTCATCTTGATCTTCATAACTTTTAAATTCGATACTGTTAAAACTTCCTATTTGTTGACAAAAAAACTGTGAATGAAATAAAACAGAGCATAAATTTAGTTGATTAAAGGTTGTATTAACCAACCTGATTTATTTGATGAAGTAGTCTAGTTTTCTCCGACGTTTGTTCAGCTTGACCAACGATAAAAGCCATCAATTTTTGTTTATACTAATTAACAAAACATTGACATATACCATAGGATAGGAGAAAGAGAGAATTATGTTAGAAATACTGACCCGTTGTTTAATGAGACTATCATTTAATAATTCTTCTAATTCATGAATATCTGTCATATGTTCGATGTTAATTATTTCAGAACGGTTCATTCCATGTTGAATTAATGATGATTGAACAGAACATTCATAACTAAATAGCGCCTGTTTCAAAAGAAGAAGAATTTTTTACCTATCAAATGATATATACTCAGTATACATTGGAGCTCCGTATGAACTCAAAATTCTGAACTCAGCCCAGTCTATAGACTAAACAAATGTAGCCCAGTCCGAGTCCATGAAAAACAGTTTTTTTAGTCCATGGACTCCTGAAAAAGTAGTCCAGTCCACAATACAAAAACAACATGTTTTTTACGGATTATCCCTCGATTCAAGCAAACCCAAAACTTTTCGAATCCAGATCAGTGCACGATCTTGAACATATGAGTCCAATCCGAATCCATGAGCTCAAAAATTTCCAATCCAATCCATATGAAGCTCGGGTATACATACATTATCCACTCTTTTGAGAACTTTTTGTAATTCATCTTTTGTATCATCAGCAATGCGTTGAAAACGGCTACGCATATTATTCTCAATAATCTTCTGAGCTGGATCATCATCACCGTCACTGTCGTACAAATCTGCTGTCAGTTTTTGAAATGAATTTGGTACATATCGAACTGTACCAAGCTAAAGGAGGAAAGAAATATTAATATAACTTTTACTTAGTAGTTTTTCTTTACTAGAGCACTAATTAGTTTACTTCACACTAAAAAACTAATGTGGTTGCACATAATGTGTTGCAAAACGCGACATATTCGGCTGCGACACTGGGTGCCAGTAACGATACACTTTTTTCCATTGAGATTGCGACATATACGACACATTTTTTTAACCGTATAGAAAATAATGGGGATTTCGTATATTTTTTGTCTCTTATTCGATTTTAAACTAATTGTACTTTGTTTCGATCTCTCTTCGTAATATCGATGCGGCTAATCTATCTGTGATATCCAATGGCTGAAAAGCGTTTAGCTGTTGAGGTATAATTTTGGAAACGTAACTTAGGATCGGATTGGTTATAAAGGCTAGGCATGCACCAGTTTTTAACTGGTGTTGGGGTATCCGGGAGAATTGCTATAAATCAGTTATCACGATTCTCTCAGAGCTGTAAAACATCTAATTTTGCAGAAAAATGTTTGCTCTACAAAATGCATTTGTTAAAAGAATTTCAGCACCATTTCTAAGAAAACTTAGAGCATTCTAAAATGTACTAAATTACGAAAAAAAAACTGTTCGAACAGTTTTTTTTTCGTGATTTAATGTATTTTTGAATACTCCGAGTTTTCTTAGAAATGGTGCTGAAATTCTTTTAACAAATGCATTTTGTAGAGCAAACATTTTTCTGCAAAATTAGATGTTTTACAGCTCTGAGAGAATCGTGATAACTGATTTATAGCAATTTTGCCGGACGCCCCAACACCAGTTAAAAACTGGTGCATGTCTAATAAAGGCTGAGTTAAATTGCATGAACTTAGACGATGGTCAAAAAGTACAAACAATCAAGTTCCATATGCCTTAAAGGAGAATTTAAATCAAAGAAATGAGTTATATTTTTCTTTTATTAGTGACGTCTACCGCTGGTTTAAGATTAAGAGATGGAAAAGAAATATCAAACGGAAAATGCTAAAGGACACTAAAATAATGTAATAATCTCGCTCACTGTGAAATTTTAATGATTAAACATGAGAAAAAACTAATCATAAATACATACCCTGTATGGTTGCAAGTTTTTGAGTTGTGAACTTCCACGTGTCTTTCGAAGTTTTTGTATTGGGGGAAAACCGTGCGACATACTTGACTGCTGCCGATGAAGCATGTTCGTTGTCAAATGTATATCAACAGTGTTTCTAGTGTTGTATTTCTCATTTTAACATCTTCAAATGGCCATACGGAAACAAGACGAGAAATTATAAAGTTTTTAATCATAATAGAGATGAATCTGAGAAATCATCGATTGTTCTTCTGTTTCAATGCAAAAGTGTGTTTTTCAAAAAAAATTCTCGATATTTCTTCTAGAATATTTAAGGTGATGCATATCGAACGATAGTGTATGTGCCTTCTTTCAAATTACATTTTAAACAATACATCTCTATGTATATAGGAGAAAAGCAATAACCAGGAAAATCATTCAGAAAAGAAAAAAGAATAAAATAAATTGAAAAGAAAAATTTATTAGCTACCAGAACGAAGATACAAAATAAATTTTTCATCTTTCATTCTTCAAATTTGATTACGGAAACCCGTTAAATAATTTAGAATAAGATAAAAAATAAAAAAAATTTTGTCCTACTATCGGATGCGAAATAATTCAATTCAATTAATTTTGTTTTTTAAAAATGGGATCGAATAACGAGCGATAAAAAAACAGTGTCAAACGAACTTTGACTGCTGGATTTCCCCATTAACATTTGTTTTGTTCTCACAGAGATTAACGAGATTCCCTAGTGAATGTACTTGAGAGCTGGGCAAGTAATGTCCAGAGTACCTGAAGGTTTCTGCAAGTAAAAAAGGTACTTATCCAAGTAATTTATCAAGTATTTGCGAAATATATGCAAGTATCCGAAGTTCTTCCAAGATCTTTTGGCATGTATTAAATCTAAACGTGCTTGATAAGTGCTAAAACCAAGTACTTTAGTAAATTTGCAAGTAGCTAAGTACTTGATCTCAAGTACATTCACTAGGGTTGTTTTGAATGATGCTACTAAAAATAATTCGAATAAAACTAAGCAAAAATAATTTGTTGAAGCTAGATTCATTCACTTAGGTAAATAGATCATTTAACTAGTTGCAGCTTGTCTTGACCTAGCTTAAGCTAGGTGAATGTTTCTTTTCAGCTGGGTTAAGCTAACTTCAAAAAACTCTTTTGCTCGATAACAAGCAAAAAAAGTATCCCATAGTTGGCACTATTTATTTGATTTCTCTACGAAAACAAAGTATTTTTCTAAGCGGCATAATATATACAAAATTAGAGCCAAAAGTATCGTTAAGTTGTGTGATTTTTAATCTTTCAAAGAAGCAAGAAATTATTGCAAGATAATACGATTTCTTCTAAACCTGATCCGGTTAAATAGATTAACACATCCGAAGGAGACATGTTATTATAGGCTTGGACAATTATTTCTCTTTAAGCAGAAACTCGTGTATGCACATTCATTTCTATAGAAAAACTATTGATTCAAAACAAAACAAAAATAGCTAAAAAGACCAGTGCTGTCCATTTTAGTCGCTACGTGAACTAATATTAATCGTTTGAAATAGCATAATATTTACAACATCATTTTAAAAAACATAATTAAATTCGTATTCAAATTAATTGTACAGCTAACTGAGACTTTTCTGAAGTTATTTAAATGACAGACAACTGCTTTTTTTTCTATCATTAATCTAACGCCACTACGTAAGATAAGTATTAAATATTTACGTCGGATATTTTTTAAATGTGTCTATTAATAGTCTTAAGAAGACGTTTATTTAAATTGTGAGTTTATTGAGTATGTGGGAGAGTTCAGCAAGAGTTAGATTTTTTGATCACACATCTAAAATTAGAACGATTGATGAGATGTTAGTGGGTAGACATTCCAGTGAAAACTGACACTTGATTACTGATGTATTTATTTATTGAACGTTTTTAAAAACATAATTAAATAGGTAATCAA